AAAAGCAACGCACGCATGGTCATTGACAGCAAAACTCCCAACGTGGAAACAAGGGACCCCCCCAACAACGGAGGTGTTCACTCGTATTCCCTCAAATTTGTCTTGATTGATTTGTTGCATCAACCTGAACCATGCACAGATATACAAACGTGAGACAAGCAAAACAACATGCCATGGGTGTTCACGGAAACATGTGAGGGCCTCTCATGAACAAATGGAAGGGTGGAACCTGCGATCATGCTTGTTGTTGGGAAACATGTTTTGCATTTGTGCTTATTGCGGTTTAGTGTTTGAAATCCAACCACTTAACTGCTAAAATGTAAATGTTTGCTCCCCTTCCAACGTCAACCCAGATATGTGAGTCGAAAGTTCTCCCTTTTTTTTTCAAGGGTGGACTCCCCCCTTGGTCAATTACTTTAGGGGGATTGGCACTGTGGCCTGGCAGGTCATGGCCAAAGTGGAGCACTTTGGAAACCAGGACTTGTCCAACACCTCCTGGGCCCGACCCCCAGCAAGGCATGTCAGCACGTACCCTGGTCCCTCCGGTGGGTTCCATGTCAATGGACAGGAGGTTAGCTCTTTTCAAAAAGTGACTCGGGGCGTGCCGGAGCAAAACCAAGCCGAGATAGAAGTTTGGTGACTGATGCGCGAACCCCGCCGCCTTTGGAAGATGCACACAACTCAATGATGGGGGAGGGTGCCCGATTTCCAATCGTGCCAACGCCCCCTGATGGTCCCATCCTAAGCCTTCAGCGTCTTTGGGTATGTTCACAGGTTCCGGGAATAAAAGGAACCTCATTCAAACGATCAATTGGGGCGGGTTCGCGACTTTCAGTGACGGATCCCCCATGTAATGCACGTGCAGGAGCAGCTTGCCCCCCCGCCCAAACAAAAACTGATAATAATACTAATAACAATCATAACCATAATAGTCTTATAGTCACAATAAGCATGATCATAGCAATAACAATCGAGCTGTGGTTGCCTTGGTGGGTACCGAAAGGGGGCGCGTGATGCACAGATCTCACTTCAGAATGCCAGGCCCAGCTCAAGCAGCTGGCTCAACTCACCCGTTGTGTCAAGGCACAACTTTGGTGCATTTTGCCGCCCCGGGTGCCATGCCCTCACGATAGGCCAAAAAGATTTGCTGGCATTTGCTTGTGAGTACCTACACGGCCAGTCAGTTGACGGTAAGATTTGACATCTTTGGATATTAGGACTACTTTTTGGAAACGAATGGGTTTTCCGCATTAAACCGCAAAAAGTTATTCACTTTTAGCAGGGGAGCAGAAAGCAACCGAGACAAGGTGACATATCCCTTGGCCCTGGTTTTCGCAGTCACAGCTTTGCTTCGAGGCTTTTGCCAAGCTGGCCGTGTCCAACGCAGCGCACCCAGGGGGCTTTGAAGGTAGCTATCGCGAGAAGCCGCCGAAGCATTTCTCCGAACAGCGATCCGTTTGTCCCCAGGTCACTTGACGCGCTTTCTGGCTCACCTCCAATCCCCACGACGCAAGAGACTCATTATGCTGAATGCAAGGCGATGATGATGACAGCGATCGGCAAAAAGTTGGTCTCCATGGTGAAGGAATCCCATCTCAGCCTGTGTCTCAAGCATGGTTCGCCCAAAATGGGTGGGTTCCTTTCGGTTTCCCCTCAGCTTGCAAGCTCAAAAAGGGATTCCTTGGTTGCCAAAAACCGCAAAAACACGCAGGAGCTGCTTCTTTGCGCTCTTTTTGCTTGGGGCTGGCTTCCCATCGGCCCTTCAAGCCCTAAGGCCTTAAGCCCGAAGCGCAATGCTAGGAAACCAAGGGCTTTTGCACGTTGGAAATCTTACCAAGGATCGATCCCAGGTAAGGCTTTCCGAATTAGGCCTCAATATCGGCTCTGTTTGGGACCCCTTCCCATGTGTCGGGTTGCCGTGGGGGGCAGGAATCGCCAAGCGACGTTTGATCCGCATGGTTCATCCCGACTTAGACCCTGCAACCGTTACGGGCTTCACAAGTGTGTTTTGTTTGACCTTTCTTCTATGTTTCAGGTAGCTCCTTCTTGGTTTGGGGGTTGTTGAACCCCTGCATCTTATGGACGGCAAATGGGGTCTCCGCTGCTTCTCAGCAGGGAATGAGTTGGAAAAAAAGACAAGAAATGCCATTCCCTCTAATTTGCTTTCTTCTGGAATCCCCAAAGCCGGTTCATTCAACCAAAACCCTACTTGATGTTTGCCCGGGCTGTCCTATTGTGTTTCTTGCCTTGCTGAGTCAAGACCCTCTGGACGCAACGGCAGAGAGAGAGAAACCAAAACCCGGAATCTGCGTCAGTCAACCGAAACCCTACACCCATTCAACCGAAACCCTACACCCATTCCGAAACCACGCAGCAATGGAATCGGCCAGGACCTCATCCCGCAGGATCTGGCCAACACGGCCGGGGGAGGGTTGGGGCTGCAAGCGCCTGGTCTTCCGTCGATGGTCTCGCGGAGTCCCGCGAAGCTAAAGGCACTTCCATGTGGTTAAGAAGTTGTTTGATTTGCCCCTGTTGGTTTTTCAAGGGACTCGATTTCACTGCTGGACATATGTTCATTTTTTCCCGGGGACTTGAGCAAATGGAGGAGCACGTTTCAGAAACCCACGCAAATGACTCGATTCCCCCAACGTAAACACCAAGAAACGGGTTTCAACTATGGTTTCAAAGTGCTGCGAACGCTTTCGTCCATCCAAGGTACGGCTTCATCCATCCCAACTGGCGCAAAATGGATTTTGCAACCATCCGCAGTTCCCTTTGACATGTTGGTTTGCATTTACAGGTTTGCTATGTGGGGGCACTCACAATGCTCAAGGGAAGCCCCTGGAACCTCCGAGCACCTGGCACTTGCCGGGTTGCGGATTTCAATGTGGGTTTCTTGCAACCGTAGCTGGTGCATAGGTTGGTCGGAAAGAGTGACCCCTGTGCTCACTAGGCATGCCTTGAGAAACCACAGCAGGTTCACCAAGAGGAGAAAGAGAGAGAGAGAGAGAGAGAGAGAGAGAGATGGGTAGCACCAACAGTTCAGCTCGGAGGTTGGGTTCCTTTTAGAGTGGTTACTTGAGCTTGGCTTTATGGACAAAATCAGCTTCGCACAGCTTGGTAGGTGCATCCCACATTGCGTTGTAGGTGGTTTATGGTAGGCTTACGTGCATCAGACACAGGTTGGCGGTTTATCCCATATTCCCTTTATGGCTATTTAGGTTGGATCTGTGAACTTTAGCATGTTGGGTGAAACAGATCGAATTTTCCGAATTGGACCCACAAGTTAAGCTTTTTGCAGATCAAGTTTGGAGGCCTCTAAATCAAGCTTTGCTGGGTTCAGGACCCAAACATGGACCAAGAGCCAAGGCTCTTCTTTGTCAACCTACCCGGGAAAGCTGGCTGCAACAGCACCAAACATCTTCATTGGATGGGACAGATATGACACCGACGAAGCGGAATCCTCTCGACGTAGACAACTGAGATCCTCCATGTGTAGGCCGGTTTGTTTCTGGGAAAGCTGGCTCCACCGCACCCCAAATCCCCAAAACGGAGATCCCCCAGTATTGCCCTTTTACCCTTTTTTTTGGGGAGGGTTCCCCTACTAAAATAGACTACAGAAAACAAGGGTGCCCTTATTCTAACCTCTCTACTGGAGGACCTAGCCAAATCGGAGGTCCCACCGTTCGGTTTGATGTCAAGGCAGGTGCTGATCTGTCGCCCGAGCGTAGGCCTGGGCCTTCGCCACACTCATCCTACCCGACAGCTCCTCCGCTGCATTCGAATCCACTGGGGACGGGTGGATCTGTGGGCTGGGGAGAAACCCGCAGACAAGTTGGGTGGTCGAAAAAGTCAAAAACCAGGATATGCACCGCAGGGGTTAGTCAGGGCCATGTTGGGGTTTTTCTGTCTTTGACCCACGCCCATTTGGGTTTTGGATTGCCACTTGGTGACGCCAAAAGCTGCGCTTGAAGCGAAAACATAGGCAAAGGATGACACACTTTATATTGCAGATGTTCCGCAGCCATGTTCCATCGGGTTCCTGAGCTTTCCCGAGTATTCAACCCACTTAGCAGGTTGCAACCATGGTTACAACTTGTGTCGCTGCGGATAGTCCCTGTAAAAAGATAAGCTACTTACCTGCATTCGGTTGAACACCAAGTTGCTTTTCTGAATGTCGTTAAGCCTGCCTTCGGGGTTCAATATACCCCAGGCTGGTTTGGAGAAGCAAATTCTGAGTGCGAAGTCGCTGGTACACTTGGGCATGTGTGTGTGTGTGTGTCAAAAGGGGGAAAACCAATTGGCAAGGTGAAAGGCATGGCCTGGCAGGGCCTGGCACTCTTCTTTCCGGATCCACTTGAGCCACATGGGTGCAGGCAAATGCAAGAATCCCACCCGGGTTCTTGGGTTGAGACAGCGTCGCCGGACTTTTCCCTTGGGATGAATGAAAAAACAACAACAGCCTAACCCAACAACCCAACTGCCCAGCAGCCCAACAACCCCCAACAACCCAAGAGCAACACAACAAAACCACAGAACAGCAACAGCCCAGCAACCAGAAAAAGCGATCGATTCGCTCAGGCGACCTCATGGACCAGATCCTCACCGAGGCGCCGAGTTCAGAGCCATGAAGGTCCGTTACACTCGCAGGTGCGATAGGCAGGGAATGAGAAAAATTGGATAAACCATCCCCGATTTGGTTTCCTCTCAGGGAATCCCCAGGTTCATTTCCATCATTCCTGAGCACCAGCAAGTTTGCTTGGGGATCTTCTATTTCAGGTCTTTGGTGTTTAGCATCATGTTACATGTTCCTTCCGTATTGCGTGTTTTGGGGTTCATACTTCGGTTCACTTGAGACCGGTGGCAGCAAAGTACAACCCACTGACACTAGATGTGTGGCTTGGGGATTTGAACCGCTGGCTCTTGTTGATGGGAAACCAACCTCTTAACCTCCAAACCACCAATCAAAACCACCAAAAAACCCGAAAGAGCTGAACACA